TTAGTTAAATTGATTATATCCATAAGAGTGCTAACCCCACTTGTTTTTTCGGGTTGGAAAGGCATCTGAACCAGCAGGTAGATCATAGGCTCTCAACCCTCTAGTTCACCTGATGGTTTCCTGATGGTCACATGTACTACTAACATCTCCTGATTTGGGGCTTTTGATTATGTTGATATCAAAAAGATTTGGTTGACAACCTTAGGGTTAATATGTTTAGCAGTAATTCTGCATCTAAATATATAATTAAAAAAAGCCTTTTTACTCTTTATATTTGGGGAATAACTATGATTGTGCCAGATATCTAGATTGTAACTTTGATAGTGCTTCACTATTTGTCAACCACCAGTGATTAATCTGTTTGTTTTTGTTTTTTTTAAATGAAAACTGCCCTCACAAGTTACAACAAAAGCTAAAAGTGGGAAGTTTATTTGTAGATCAACAGTCCAAAACCCAGAGTTTCACATCGATATAAAACAAAGAAAACAAACAAATCCTCACAGTGAGAAGCTGGAATCAGAACTTTCTTTTGCCCAATAAATTACCTGATGATTGATAGATAATAGATTGCTATTCATTAACTTCCCTAAAAATTTGTGCTTCAACTACATTCAGTACTTCAAATTACTAATAATTCAGAGATTAAGTTATCTTAAATTCAGTGGACCAAAAAGTCACCAACTGAGAGCTACATTAAGTGGCATTAATACGAATAGTTTGTAATCTAAGCTGTCCAGGCCCAGACGACATGTACTAACTCAATTCTGGCAGATTTATGTAAAGCTATACTCACAGGGTTATGTGTTTTAGTGTTAATGGTGGTTATCATGACAAAACAGTGTAGTTAGTGACTTGGACAAGGAAGCTGTAACCAGAGATTTCTGGATTGATAACACTTGGCTTTGTTTAAGTTCACAGTAAAAAGGCACTAAAGTTGGCCAAACATTTTTCATGAACAACTTAAACAGGAATGACTGCCCTATATGCAATAGCAAGCTTTCCGGTTCTCATGTCACTGCACACTGTATGTGTGATCCCGGCCTTTGTAATGTTAATCTACAGCCAAATCTAGACAGACACATCAATGGGTCTGGTAATGAAAACATTTTAAGTGCACATATATATATATATATAAACTCCAATCCCTATTACTCACATTACATTCAAATTTACAAAGAAAAGTACAGATGAAAGCAATCTCAATAAATCTTAAGTTGCCAGTAAGGGGTCCTCAGGGAGTGAATATATTCACAAACATGTCCTTTTTTGGTTTCAGTTTTATGTCTGAAGTGGAACTGTATATGTTTCACTTTATAAACACACATGGTTTTGACTTTCAGCTGATCTGAAACAGACACTTTGCTGGTGACTGAAACACACACACAGAGAGTGACCCACTTTCCTGAGCTGAACTGGACCAACCAAAAACAGATCACCCTGTCTCCATTTATGATTTGGGTGTGGATATATGGGATGAATACACACACAGAGACAGACACATGGAAATACACACCAGTACTCTACTGGTACAGGGACTCTTAAGTGAGTACAGCTGTGTAACCAGATGTGCTTTTGAGTCCTGTGGTTACAAGTGCGTGTGCATTTTGTGTGTGTGTGTCTAAACCTGAAAACCTACTCTGCTCATTCTAATCCCTCAACAGAACACTCTTTTCTTTTTTTTCAGCCCCGCACACCCGCCCATATAGCCCCCGGCAATATGACCTGCCTCTCTCTCTCTCCCTCCTTTATCCAGCTGACTGAGTAACAGCAGCAATAAAGGTATATGGACAATATGACCTGAAACAGATTTCATTTTAATTTGAGGATAACATTTAAGTCACATCAAAAAAACACACAGATGCTATATATCTGTTTTCCTTTGTGTTCGCCATCAGTAACTCTCTCTATCTATCTTTATCTCCCTTGAATCTCTTGATCTGTAAACTGTCGTGTCTCCCTAGAGCCACTAGGGAGCAGACGACTATTGAATGATTGACTGAACGCATGAATGATGTTTATTCTCTGTGACATTCAACAGAGAGCAAAAAAATCATTATTTGTACTAACTAATTGCTGCTTATCCAACCAACTAGTAGATGAGCACACACTTACACTGGTCTATCTGCCACAATCTACTATCTTGACATTTAAGCCTAGTGACATAGCGTGTTTATGTATTCACAGAATGCTCTAACAAACATGCTAAATGCCCTACAAACACAATGACACACACACACACACAAACTGAATTGCAGACATCCAAACACTAAAATATTTATAATATACAGTAAAACTGTTGAAAGTCATCATTAGCATAGTATTAACAGGCCTGTGTGTGTGTGTGGCCACCATGGGTCAAGCATGACCTATCATGTATTCATATCCCGAGACAAAGACAGGTCTGCATGGTTCAGAGGTGTGTGTGTGGTGGTGGTGGGGTATCGGTGGGTGGATGTGTGTTTTTATACTAGCTGTGAGGGGTCACATATGTCCCAATGCCCTGTGGGAATAACATGGGTCTCATGCTGACAACACAACGGGAAGGAACACGGACACACACACACACACACACACACACACACACACACACTCAGCTGAAGTGCTGCGCTGGCACATTTGGTGAAGGAGAAGGATTATTAGGTCACATTTCTTCTCCAAGGACATGAGTTCAGCTTTTCCCCGACACAAAACACCTGCCACCTCGGTCAGTTCACTCTTACAAGAAGACTGTAAGGAACAAACCACGCTGTAAGAAAGAAAACCACCCAGGACCGGCTAATATAGCTGTGCAACACTGTTCACTTCTTCGATAATGACTCAGGGGTGTTTAATTCAGTTCAGGACAACAACTAACTGAAAACTTGTCTGTAAAACCTGTCACATAAACATATAACAGTGTTGCATGTTTGCTAACTCAACCAGCTATTAAAAACAGTGGGTCTTAATGACTGAGAAACGAATATGTTGTACCAGAACGCTGAGTATAAAATGATTCAACAGGGCAGTGCATTTTAATTTCACCTTCACATGTTGTTTTAAGTCACTTAAGAGTTGTACCAAGTACCATGAAATATCTAACTGACAGCTCTATTACTTAATTTTACAAACAGTCACAATGGTTGCAATGTAAATAATTCACGCAAGAAACGCTGTGGTCTGAATCCACCAACTGATCCTGAGTCTGTTGACTCAGGCTTAGAAAAACTTCATCAGAACCACAAAATAACACATTAAAGAGCGCATGTGAGAGGCGCATGTGAGAGGCACATGTTCACTGCGTGTAGGTGTAGCAAAAAGTCTTTTCCCACTCCCACTGTCTCAGCCCATATCCTCATTCATACTTTTGAGTTTGACTTTATCAAGCACTTGCAGACGAAGGCACTAAAATCTGAAACTTTTAAGACAATTTCTCTATCTGCAGCTATTAAATTACATAAAGTACCACAATTAGACAATTACAATACTGTAAGTTATGTGCCTGTGCTTATTCTACTACAATGAAGTTAACCGCAATGGGGAAGCTTTAACAAGCCTGAACTGAACCAAACCTAACAAATAACATTTTAATTAGTGGCCTACCCACTGACAGCCCCCATTAACCCCCACTGCTCCTAACAATTTCCAACTGTCATGTTCTTGAGCTAATGAGAACCACTGTCTCCACCTCTGTCTCTGTCTTACTGGCTGTGTACAGTGGGTCTCTCTTTGCCACTGTAGCTATGTATGTACTCCCTCTTGCTGAATGCACTTTATTGGCCCTATGGTGCATAATGCGTTCTTATTTGTTACCAATTAACTCCAGTGTGGCCCCACTGTATTCATAACTAAAATCCAGTCAACTGAAGCAGAACCCAAAGGCAACATGTTAAAAAATTATGCAGATTCAAAAGCCCTGCCAGGAGGGCTTTCAAAAAATTTTTTCATGCCTTTTATATGCATAGCTGCAATTTTTTTACAAGCCAAACCAATGTCAAAACCAAAATGTACTCTCCATTAATATATTTATCAGACCCAAGTACAACGGCACAACATGCATGATACACACTGAGTGGCACCAAATGCCCCTGTAGTGTAAAGCCAAGCGGTCCTTCCAGCGGTTTAAACAATGTTGTTATTAACGTAGGTTTGTTTTGTTCATTAATTATAATTTATGAGCTACAAAATGATTCAGTGTAGGCAGACTACTCAGTATGTCACAACACCTAACAAAAATATATATTTATATACATGATGATACATTTCTATAGTATATGATTTGATACTATATCATAAATCAACTCACAAAACTCCGAGGCTCATGATCTGCCTGTTGGGAATCACTGAACTAATAGAATTAAAATTGATTATATGGATTACACACTGAAAAAAAGAAATCCCCTGTCAAAGAAAATTATAAAAAAGCAGCAATCTACCGTGTAAGGATTAATATCTTCTCTAAGTGATCGATGTCTTTCAGTAATCCATCATGTTAATTCCCTTAAAAGGAGAAAAGCAATACAGAAGATGAACTCATTGATTTTGATGATGGTGATATGATCTGTCAGGTAAACTTGAAAACCCGGAGACAAAAATCTAAATAGCCTTGTCTGTGTCATCTATATATTTTCATCAGCACTCTGTCAGTAACTGATTAACGACTTCAGATACAATAAGTATCCTTAATCCCAGAGGCTCTTTGATCTCTGCTCTTTTTCACAGCTGGTCGAATGAGAGCATCCTTATGATTTATGAGAACAATAACTCTGACTACACAGCAACACAGCAAGGAGGGGTATGATTAGAGGCCCCGTCTTTCATGAGCAACCAAGTTAATACGTGTCACTGTCCAAATGCCACAGCTAATGAAGGAACAAGTTATTTTTGGAGGCTAGTCAACAGAGCGAAACCAGCTAACCACTGGGTAACAGAACAGGTACTACAAAAACGTAATACAATAGGATTTGCACACATCCATACACATCATAAGAGACAGAAGAACAAGCAGACAATCTGATTTTTACCTTGCTGGAGTAAGGTCCAGGGATGAGCAGTTTCAGTGCTTGTCTTTTCAGCTCTGTTAGCCTAGCGTTGCAGTTCTCACACCATATCCCTCTTTCACTACCAGGGGAACTTCCACTACCAGAGGCTGGTGATCCTGTCCCAAAACCAGGGGAGCCACCCAGAGAACCAGGCGATTCGGTCCCAATCCCCGGAGAGATGGTCCCCGGTGAGCCAGAGAAGGATCCTGGTGAGGAGATTCCTGAGCCTGGGGATGGGGTGCCTGTGGAGCTTGGCATGGAGCCCGCTCCCTCCGGGGCGGGGCGGGTGCTAGAGCGGGTGGTTTCCTCGCAGGCCTTTCGGTACCATGTGTCCGGGAAGAAGGAGGCAGATTTGGTTGGGGAAGTGTCAGGCATCTGTGAAAAAAAAAGAAGAAAACCTGACTAATAGGCCTTTTTTTTTTTTACCACAGTCCTTTTGACATGTGACAGCATGAAAAACACAGGTGTAAATAAGAATATCACTCAATGATAGCTGAATTCCTCATAGGTTTTGCCATTCCAGGGCCCTGCTATTGTGCATGCTGGCTCACTGTTATGTAGTCAACATTAATGTTAAATTATGATTATATTTAAATACACTTAGAGTCAAATGTGTGTCATGAAAAAAGCCTATAGCGTGTGGATATGCGCAACATCCCACTCATCCCAGTGGACACAACAGGTTGCACAGGTTAGGGATGCGAGTAAAATAATGAGGGGCTGAGGGCACATGTCTTGTATCATGCAAATTAAAAGACAAACTATTTGCATTCAGCCTATTAAGCAAAATGATGGCGTGTGTTCACTAGGCATTTATCCACCGAGCTATATTTAGTATGCTATCTATTTTGTTCGATATAACAAAAACAGAGAATCAAAAACAATTGATTCTGACTGTAAAAAAAATGAACCTGACTCACAGCTTCAATATCTGCGCTTAGCCTACATGCCAGCAATTGATAAATTGAATATCTTGTTTTGAAAAGAAATTTGCAGGCTAAACATAGCCTACAGTAGACAGGCGCAGTGCAAAAATCAAATGGTCAGACATTTAAAAACATACAACCAGGAGGCAATGTTAAAAATTTACTGTGGTGGTGTTATAACCCAAGTCAAGGCAGTCAACATGTTGGTCTAAATAGGATCAAGTCAGATTGAGACCTGTGTTTTTTTCTCTATTCAGTTAGCCACATGAGAACAAGGAGTTAAAAATGATATATTTTGCGGCTGGGTAAATCCAGTCAGAGAAAAAACCCACTGATGTGGTGGTGGCCACTGTAATCCCTTCACAAGGGCTGTAATAAGAAAGCAATGATAGGCTGATAGGTGGGAATGCTCAACCAAGTGAAGAGGTGGGTATAATGTGAGCCAGCCTTGTGTTATAAATCAACACTAATTAGACTGTAGGAAGTAGACAGTGACACAGGTGTGAGTCTGATACCTGAGTTAGTGATAATTAAGAAATGTGGGAGATCTATCAGTGAAAATGCATGCCACTGTTCTGACACAATAAGCAGTGATGTGTGTGACATTCACAAAGCAATAAATCAACAGCATGAATGCAAATCTATGAGTTTCATATCAACCTAAAGAAAAGGTGAGCACACCACAGTTTCCTATTAGACTGTCAGTGCAGTGTGAGATTCAAGTGCAAGCATGGCAGAGTGGATGATAAGTTTTGATGGCTTACAGGTAACAGAGGTGTGTCTGCCCCTCGGCTACTGAAATGAATGACCTACCCCATATTTTCTGCTCCGGCTGCTCACAGACCTCTCCTTGGTCCCCGACAGTGAAGTCATGATGGGAAGAGAGAGGAGGGGGGAGAGGAGAGGAGAAAGGACCTCTGCTGCTGCTTCACATTCAAAAAAGAGACCACCGGATCAATATCAATTAACCACACGCCCCTGCAGTTTGCTCTTCTCAATCTGGAGGCAACCTCGCGCCACTTCCAAAAGCATGTGGAAACCGGTTACATCCCCATTCCGTCACCAAGAGACCAAAAAAATAATCCTTGATGGATCTTAGTTTTCTTTTTCCACGGGTTATTGCTTTTGGAGAAAGCCCTCGAATACCACTTCTATAAGCTAAACCTAGGATTCACGCAGGTCGTGCGAGAAAGCAGACCGCTCCCTGTCAGCAGAGTCTGCTGAATGAGGCTCTCTGCTCAACAGCGCTCCGGACTGACACCGCACTCAGCCCTGCCTCTCTCCATCAGCTCTGCGTCTGAGGCTGGCCAGGTAACACAAATCCACCGCTGGGCAAAACTCCGCCTCATGGGTTACCTACAAAGTCACGACTCATTAGATTGAGTTAGAGCTGGCTGGTGCAGACCACGGATGAGGGAGTAAGTCCCTCGTTGTTTATAGGCTACTTAAAGCGGTACTATCCGTACCCTCCTGTTGACTTCCCGAGGCTCCGCGCTCTGCTGAAGCCAGCAGCGCACTGGAGAGACAAGAGAGAGGCGCACATCTGGAGGAGGGCGGGACCACCCTGCCCCTCATCAACCACAGACCAATACACATCCAGAGGTTGCTGCTGAGTGGCAGGTAGACTACTGCCTGTGTGAAGTGAGGCAACTGGACTGCGCAACATTGCTTTGGGATGATGTGACTGAGTGTTTAACTCCTATATAAAAGGGACACTCCCAGGGACACTCCCAGGACTCTTGATTAAGGACACTGGTAAAATAGCTATAGGGATTTTTAGGTTTAAGTGACATGAGGAGACATGTCGGCCTACATATAACATAACTGTAAAACCTAAATAGAAAAAAAGTAACAAACGGGTTATTTTAGGCCGATTCGAGTATTTCTAGATGGAATATAGCCTAATGACATTTGTCTAGGCCTACAGGTCAACAAAATAAAGCATTCAGTATTTCCGCATAAGCTAAAAAATAAATTATGATTTCCAGACAATATAATCGAACAGTCAACTGAATGAATTAAATTAGAAAAACCAAATAATTGACCAAATTTCTGGTAGCTTATGTTGTAAGAATATTCTAGGTTAGGGGGTTTATTTGGGGAAAGCTTGGACTCGTGACCTCAAAATGTCTAAAATCCTGGCTATGGCTCTGGGCACTTCCTCTTTTAATGAAGTAGGCTACTGATAATTTAAAAGCCTTTGCAGATGGAGATGATGGAGATGAAGAAGTTACAGAGGCATGTTGCATGAAGCTTGGGCACAACTGAGACAGGGAATGGACATGTATGTGACAAAGGAGACAACTGATCAGTGCCATTTAATATTTGAATATTTATTGTATGTTTACTGACTCTGTCAAACTTATAATTTTGGGCCCCTGCAGGAACCTTCTTGAAGCACATGCTCTTTTAGAAAGGTGACCTACAATCATCTCTGTCAGTCAAAATCTCAGTCAAAAGGGTCAAGTATCTAGTCAAGGAAGCGTTATGGAGGAAAAGGTAAGAGTATAGCATTCAGAGCCGAGCCTTTGGAAGAGTGTAAAAATCATTATAAGTGCAGCGATCTTTCTGCATTAGCTTCATCTTGTAATGGTGGATGACCCCTGCATAAAGCCATTTTTTTTTCAGAAACCACTGTTTTGTCAAAGAGAGCAGTTTATGAGTGGTTACACAGTGCCCTCTACTGTGTTCATAACGTTATTACCGGAGACATGCAGGCACCGAGCAGCTGAGTCAAAATAGCAATAAAGAGCACGTTGGACTGATTTAAACATGGTTATGATGCCATTTTTCAGATTTACATCTATGTAGAAATGTGTTCCATCACATTTTGCAGCACAAACGAATATCTTCTGAAAATAAAAAGGGCCACAGGAAGGGTTTTCTTACACAGGAAAAGGGAGGCCTAGACCTACCATTTAGGATGGCTGTTTTACCATTCACACTTAGATCCCTTTTTTCCCACAAAATACATTTTGTCACAAAAGGAACTTGTAAGCGTTGACTGAAATTAACATAAAGAAAAGCTGGCAAAGAGGTATAAAGTTATTAATACAAGTGGCAGAAGAAATGGGATGCAAACAAAAGCAAACATCCCAGCATAAAGGTTGTCATCTTAGTGAAAGAAGGTGATATAGTGTAAGTATTTGGGCTCTGCAAATAGGACGCAGTATGGCTTGGACATACAGTTTTAACTCGACACTTTATTCAATAGAAAGGAGGTCTTTAAATATTTGTCACTTTAATGTCGTAAAACGTATGCATTAGGGTCATTAGGCTATATATATGAAACCCATAGGAGATACAAAACAAAGACAGGCTTAAGGGGGCGACTGGATGCAGGTAAGAGGCGAAAGTAAAACAAAACAGATAAGTTGGGATCTTTTTGAGAAAGAATGTTTTTTTGCCAAACTGTATGGGGTTGGACAAAATGTGTACAGTGTTATCCTTTAGTGCCTAAACCAATCAGCAGCTCATAGTGATCTTCCCCTCTCGGATTTGGTTTTAGAGGCCTGGATTGGAAAGAAAATCCTTTAGGCAATTAAACAAGAAAATATTTACGACCCCATCGTCTCACAACGACCTGGGGTGACTCCATGCTGGGACCCAATGCCCTGAACATTCATTCAGTTTATCTGAATCTGCGCACTCCGGTACAGTAGGCGGCAGTACGTGGTTAGTTTATGATGCGCGAGCGCCAACAAATGCAGAGATATTTGTTCACGGGAATTGTGTGTGCGACGTATTGGTTTTACTATATTCTTTTAACGTTATATAAATCACGTTATAGAAGCAGTGAATGTGTACAGGCACGACGATGCTCGAAACCTGTAACGTTACGATCGTAGGTAACTAAGTGAACTGTCCAAACAAAAGGCTGAATTTAAGATTTTAAGGTGAGTGGCTAGCTGCACATAAGTTACTATTTCATTGTGCCTGAGGTAAAACTGGTCAATCACGCCATCTCAGTTTAGGCGTGCATGTGCGAACTATTGCATTAAGTTAAATATTTGGTTGTGCCAAACGTGCGCTGGGTAACGTTACGTTAACACTGAAGCTAAACTGACAGACAACTCCCATTGCACAATGAACTGTTTTCTGTTTGTTAAGTCACCTTTTTTGCGTTGTAGTAAAAAACAACAGTTGCTGCTTTTTTTGCTCGGGATTTGTTTGTTTGTTTACTAACATGCAAAGAATACTATAGCTTGCTTGCTAGCAAGTCGTTAGCGTGAAGTTGATTTGCCTCTGCGTAACTTACAGCGTAAGCTCGCAGTGACGTTACATGTTGTGATGGGCTCTAGTATATTATTAACACGTTGAACCTTGGTGTCATTGTGGTTTAGCATGGGGTTAGCACATGTGTGACGTTATTTATTTATTGCTACACGCTTTAATAGTAGGCCTAACGTTACTGTAAACACCTGAGCTGAGCTGTTTCTTGCAACAACGCAGGCTGCTGTAAATGTGGTGCGTGTTGTCTTGGACACACAGGGCGTTAGAAAGTCATCTGCCTAACATTACTGAGATAACGTAGTGACCTAACTCAAGTCTAGGTTAATTTGGAAGACATCGTTTAAATATGTTTCTATGGCGACACGCTTTCCTGTATTTTACTTGCAGTAAACAAACATGCAGTGTGAAGATGGCATTTACCCCAATGCCAACATAGTTTAACTTTAAAGCGAACCTACGTCCTACTCTATAGAGACCACGTGTTGAAGGTCGTTAAACAATATTTCTTTTTTAAATATACTTTATTAAATTATTCAAACAGGGATATGTAAGTAATATATGTAAGCAATATTTCCTTTCCTCACCTTACCTCCTTACAGTTGCCAAACCCCTTTACCGGTCTGTCAGCCCTGTCACTAGAGCGGGATACCCCCAGGAGAAGGAAATCGGCCCTGATAAATGTCACATCTTAATACTTCACCAGACCTCTGATCCAATGACCTCAAGGGAGGTCTTTCCAGAGAGAGGACCACACCAACTCCCACAACAATGAAAGGTAACTCGACATTTTACTTTCTTAATTTTGGAAGCGGTCGAAAAGCTTTTGATAGTCAGCTAAATCTGAGTGTATGTTAAGACACATAAGAGGAAACTCCAACCAGTGGTAGAAATATGACTGCGAATGATCTTTCAGGTGGACCTCGAAAAACAAGACGAAGAAAAACGAAGAAGACGACAACACTGTTAGACACCACAGACACTGTTTCATCTCAAGCCAAAGAGGAATCAAATGCTGTGCCAAACAGTGATTTGACCATTGTCTGCCAGTCCTCTGCGAGTTCCCTACTAAGTACTCCAAAAAGAGGTAGGGGGCAAACTGGACAGACAGAAGAAGCCTGCCTGACCTCAACACCAGTCCACAGCTCCTCCAATAACATTCTGTCCAACATCTCAAGTCCCCCTCCTGGAGCAACACAAGTGGAGCTTGAATACACTGAGCTCATCACTCAGTTGAAGGTGTTTTATTGTATTTTTACTGATAAACATTGTTTCTGCTTTTCGAACCCACTGATTTTTCAGCCTGCGCAGTTAATTTTAGTGATATCCTTTTAACTCATTTAATATCTGGTCTGTTTTAGACATCAGAGGTAGAGTCACCATGCTGCAAGTCAAAAGCTCAAAGCAGACGTGGGAGGGGTCGGCCAAGACAAGTTAGAAAAAGGTTGACAGAGGAGCAAACGCAGACCTGCAGTCAAACCAACGGTCCACCAGCCAAGTGTGGCCGTGGCAGGAAGCGGAAGATCAAAATGGGGGATTCACAGAGGGATACCACTACTCAGGCATCCAAGCGCTCGAGACCAAGATTTGAGCTGGAGAAGCCAGATGCAGCAGAGCTAGGTAGTGTCATGTCAGTTTTTGTGTCATGCACAGTCATCATAATACTTTTACGAAAGTTGAGACATTCTGTATTTTAGGAGGTCATTGCCCCACAAATTTTTGCAGAACCCGTCTGAAATGTGCTCTGTGTGGATTTATATTTGCTAGGGTATCAACGACTGCTTGTAGAGCAGCTCATGTTTTTAAATAATTCAGGTGAGCAAAATTATGTGCTTTAATCTATCTAAATCTAACCCTATGTGCCCCCCCCCCCCCCCCCAAAAAAAAGACGAGTCTTTGCTGTCTTCAGATCTGTCGATAGAGCTGAGTCACCATGAGGAACAGCTGCCGTCTTTGTCCTTCCAGGAAGATGAGGGAAGTGATAATGAGGAGGAAGAGGAGGACCTACCAAGTTTCTTGATGCAGGCGGACAAAAGTGAGAGACATTGTAGTGACTTAGTGCAAATAATCAATGAAAAGGACTAGATATGGACTGGATTATGTGGATGTACTACTGTCTTTCAGAGCCCCCGTCCATTACAGAAGGAGTGTTTGTGTGGTACAAATTTAGAAATTATCCATTCTGGCCTGCATTGGTGAGTGCAAAAACCATCGCTGATTTCTCAAAAGCACATGTTTTTAGATTTTTTTTTTTTTTTTTTGATGA